CTTACCAATGTACTCCTTCAGGTCAAAGCTGAGAAGATCTCCCATCCTCCTTCTAACTTTGGTGATCTCAAGAAACTGCCCTTCGGCTCCCTTGATCCTACTGGAGACTACGTCATATCAACACGTGTTCGCCTTGGTCGTACCCTAAAGGGTTTTCCTTTTGCTCCTGTGATCACCAAGGCAGCTCGGCTTGAGCTGGAGGAGAAGGTATGCGACCTTAAAGGACCAGCTTCAGTACTCTTTATTGAAGGGCAAATTGTCTCGAACCTTATAGCTGTTTAGGTTGGCGCTTATAATAGACTGCCCCTGTCTCATGCTTCCAATAACTCTTAAATTAAGCCTTGCATTAAATAATGTCTCTCAACATCTTTTAGATTTCGACTGTCTTGAAAAGCTTTACTGGCGAATTTGAAGGTACCTACTACCCTCTGACTGGTATGAAGAAAGAGGACCAGGATCAGCTTGTCAAGGACCATTTCCTCTTTCGTGATGATGACAGGTGATTTGAACGGGCATTAAATCTGTATAGAATTTATTTACACCTTAATTTGCAGTTTTTTAGCCTTCTCCAACTATTGACAATTGGCGAAATTGAGGGAAAATTTTAGTTCTAAACCAACGCATAATGAATAACACAAAACTGATTAAGCTATTTTTTCAGAAATCGGCTGACTGGTGAAGGAAAATGCCTAGTGTTACGTGAGTAGACAAGTCTTTCCAATACTCTACTCTCCAGGGATGAAACTATCTTTGGATCAGTTTCTTTTCCTTTTTAATCGACGGATCCATTAGCTGGTAAAAATGAGCATTAACCTTTATTTTGCTATGACTTTTCACTCAGAAGAAAAATAATGTTGTAAGGAATTCGTGAAATGGTCTCGGGAAACCGAAGGATGATTGTAGCTAAGTGAATACTGTTAGACTGTGGGCAAGAGTCCTCGGCTCACCGTCCTGTGTACCATGACAGACCTCATCAGAGTGTGACTCCATACCTTACGAAATAGCGCAAAAAATATACTAAACTAAGAGAACAGGAGGTGGGCTCTAACTTTAATCACTTTTTTATGCATCTAACCTTGCGATCTTAATGAGGTATCTCGTGATTAGTATGAGATGTATTCATCCTATTTATTTTAAGGTGATGAAAGATTGATACTTGAATCTTCTCACAACATGAAAAAATCCTACATTTCCATTTTATTTCACATAGCCTTGCTTTCAAAAAGGTATTCTTATCTAGGTACTCTTATCATCCAGGGGTGAACACATCTCATATATGATTTACTCATAGTCTCG